GACTAGACACATCCTTGATTTGATTAACACAGCACCATAGAAATAGACTATGTATTGACATCGGAACTTATTTAACATCTGAATCTCAGCTCTAAACTCTTTGGTGGTTAACTCATCGCCACAATCAAATAACATCTTTTTGATCGCTACAGTCCTCCCTTGGAATTTACCACGAGAAACTATACCAAAACTGCCTCTCCCAACCATCTCTTCTTCTGTGAGCTCTTCATAATTCAAAAAGGTGGAAATCATTGTCTCTGCAACAACTTTGAGCGTGGAAACAATTTCCTCACAGCCATCCGTGTTACTCGAAATAATTTTGATTGGTTCTGAAATGGAACAAGTACACCGTGGGGTGATACTGAAGTCGATTTTAATACCCTCGCCTCGACTTAACAAAAAGAAGTCTGGCGATATTTCAATATCGTACCGATCAATCCCCTCATTTGTCATTATTTGAATTTTCTTCTTTTTCTTGGAGTTGTTGCATAGATAGAAGTATGTGGTTGTGGGGGAGTCTACTGGTATTTTGTCGATACCAAATGTAATGTTTTCACAGGACACCCCTATTACTTCGTCAAGTGGCATGAAGTGGACATCGGACTTTTTGTATTTGAATGGTAAGTTCTGGTGCACTATATTGATCTTCTTTGCTTTAAACCAGCAGTAAATCAGTGTTGTGAACAAGGACCCCATGATGGAAAAGACTAAGCAACTGATAACAACAAACACCCCTATTGCCCACCCATTCATCTTCTTTTGACACCCACTCCCATCTTCTCGTGGCGCATGCCAAAACGTACATCTCACACATCTGGAGTCTTTCACAACAAGACACTCTTCTATGTACTCAACACTTTTACAAAGCCCATTTGTTTGCAAAATCCATTCAGATTTACACGAAGAACACGTCGTTGGATTGTCACATGTTGTACAGTTTAGGGTGCATAACTGACACTCTTTGTTGTTCTTGAAATAGCCATCTTGACATTGGGTACACCCTTCTATAGGGGATATAGTTACATTACACCCAACTATACTACTTTGTGGAAGACACTTACCATCTCGCATATAGTTTGTACCGTTACATAACACACACTGATTCGCTTCCCCAACACATGTGGCACAAGATGTATCACACATGTAACATGTCGAGTCAAACATGTAATATCCATTCCGACACTTCATACACATCCCATTGGGTAAGTACGTCTCACACTTTGTATCCAACTCGATGTTTGAAACACAGTCGTGGTTCTTCAAAAAAGTGTCTGTCGAACAAGAAACACATTCATTGGGTAATTCAACACAATCTAAGCACTTCTTGTTACACACTTGGCATTTACCATCGTCCAAATAATACCCAACAGAACACGACAAACACCCATACGGTGATGGTGTGGAGCAAGAGGTGGTCAAATTGGGCGAAACACAGATACGATTCTTGAGGTAGTAATCCTTTTCACATTCCACACACACTCCAGTCAAGTACATTTTGCATCCAATGAACTTTGGAGTGCATTTCTTGATCACAGTAAGTGCGTAGGTGTTTTCACACTCAACACAATCATTTGTTTCCGAATTTTCAAATTGGAGACAGTGCATTGTCTCGCATTGTCCATTGGAAAGGATGTACCCTTGTTTGCACTGAATGCACTCATTAGGCGTGCACAAGTCGCAGTTGTCAAAAGTCGACGAGCACAACTCACACTCAGAGTCGTTGTTGTAATACCCATTAGAACACCCCAGTACATCATACTTCGACAGCAGAATTGTGTTGTTCTTCAAAACGCATTGGGTATCTTCTAAGACATATCCATTCTCACTGTTACACTCATAACACTTGTCTTCATACCAACTTACACACCCATTCAACGGTGAAGTGTCTTGACATGTTCCGTTGACAATTCCACCAGTCACACAATACATACAATGTCCATAGACATAATACAAACACTCATCTAAATGCACTCGAACACATATACCATCTGTAAGACGATATCCAATGGTACACTCTTCACAGGTGTCAGACTGACAATGAAGACAGTTTAAGTCCTTGCAACGGTTGCAGAAGTTGTTGTCGCTATCGGGGTAATACCCATCCCCACAACTCACCGTCTTGCCAGTCAAACACGTGAAATTGTTGTCAACGATTGTTCCATAACTACATAGGTAATACACCCCTTGTACTACTATCCCATTCTCTCCTATTAACAAGATGTGTTTGTCCAACTCTTCAAATGTTATACGAAACAAGTCGTTGATGTTTTTAAAGTATAACACGTAATTGTCGCCATTACCAAATACCACTGAAAACTCTGTTTCATTGCCTTGTACTGTTATTTGGTTCTTAACGTCTATTGTTCTATTTTGAAATGGTCTGAATGGACCTTCAATGCTATTTGACAAGAATATTTTCCCAGTCTTAGTGATCACAGACATGGTGTCTGCGTCGCCTTTTTGTACGGTAAGACCAAGAGAAAATATCAGATCGTCAATCATTCCAGTGACTGTTCTTGATATCCCCAAATTGTCTAATGTAACGTCAACGCGATTGAATACAAATGAAAGATGGTACTCATCTTCTTCCATTTCAATCGACTTTTCATTTGATATGACAAGACACAACGCATCATCAGTAGTCTGGCACGGGCAATCAGCGTAGTTGTAAAACGCGCCTTTCATACTCCCATTCTTTGTCCCAAGTAAATGGCAATAGACATCAGAAGTCATACTCGTTTGTTGTGCGCAATACCGAAGGATGTGTCTATTAAACTCATATGAAAAATTCGGCTCATCAGACGTCTTAGAATTGTTTTTAATGACACCATTCTTGCCTAAATAGATCATATCAAAACAATCATTATATAAAGAGAAACTTATTGCGTCATCGATATCCACTATACCATTATTAACTTGGAATAATGAGGTCTTCGTGATATTTTTGTTGATAACTACTATACGAGTCCCACTCATCTTAAGAACAACACATTGGTCACTATGGACAGTCTTACAACTCTCCATATAAGTGGCTTTACCATCAACAGTGATATCACTCTCTGATTCAACTCGAATATTCACTTTGTTATCACTGATGAACTTTCCGTCAATTACAATGGATGAATTCTGTTTGATTGTCATCGTACTGGAGTCCGAAAATCGCATTAAACCTTTATGATACACAGAACAGTTGTCGCAGTCAAATTGTGAAGTACCAACAAAGGATATTTCACCACACCCCTCACTCTCTACACACTCTATCACTGTGTCGTCGCTCAGTAGCGCTGAACTCTTCTCTGAAAATTTGATGCCATGTTCGATCATTAAAAATGCCGTTTTCTTCAAATACAAAACACTCGAGGAGTTAAACTGCAGATCAGAGACATCCAACAAAACATCGCCAAGAATTTCCATTTTGCTTTGATCTGTCAAAGCGATGTGTATTTCATCTGCTTTGTTTCTAATATGTGCTTCATTGAAGGTTGCAATACTCGATCCAGTTAATGTGACATTGCCAAAGTCGACATACGATTCATATATAATCAACCGGGACTGTCCTTTCAAATAGAATGAAAAGGTGATATTATCACATATTGCAACGTAGTCACATCTGCCATACATCTCACACAACAATTCGTTTAATTCAGTGTCATTGCAT